TACTGAAATGTATGCCAAATTAACATTCGATTTAACATTTATTTCACTACCTGGAATAAATTTACCAAGTGGTAGGAGACCCTTTCTCTGCGTTATTTCTTCCCCTAGTGGAAGCCGAGTTTGCTCGTGAATGTACGGTAGAAACGTAAAAAATTAGTACACAGACTGTGCTCAGTGAACGATTGTACTCAAATTGCAAGTGTTCATTTTCGGCATTTCTTTTGAAGTTAAATACACAGATATTGCAACGCGGAATAGGATGCAACTCGAAAACAAGATCATATTGAACCTATGTTTGTATAAAGTTTTTTTATTATTTTTGTGCCCTGAAACACCCCCTGCAATACTTCCCACATAATACGGGACACCCTGTATACTACAGTCAAATTCATATTGTGCAGATTCTGCGATTCAGACAGTGTGTATTTTTACTGCTCCTTAGCTCGATACTTGGAACTGTTCGGTGTCGCATTTTCATATTGTTGAAAAATTGCTCGAACTCCTGTTTTCAACACATTAGACTTCTTCCAGAAGAGCAGACGTGAGGTTCTTCACCTGAAAATGAACCAAGTATGACCTGGTTCGTACTGTCTTCAATTTTTGTGGGCGATCTTTCGAACTATAAATGATTCAAACTAGTTTTGTGTCATTTTCAACCAAAAGACCGTATCAGTATGTTACAAACGTTTTCATAAAGATTTTACGAAAATATTGAAGATTGTACTTTCGTTTCTGCACCTTTTATCTTACCGTACTGATTAGTATCCACGATGTATGCGCACTATGAAAGCCATTTCTGTTTACAGTATTCCTACAAGAATTTCACAATTTCTGCCCTTGCGAGCCCCTAATTTAAATCCCCATATTTTTAGGAATCATTCAATGAGTACCAAGCGAAAAACTGCGCTCAACGCTCATAATTTCAAAGTATGTATTGTAATGCAATATTACGTACAATACCCTCGCGAGCAAACTCCGCTTCCGCTAAGGGAAAAAGTGGCGTAGAAGAAAAGTCTCCTACCACTTAGTAAATTTATTTCAAGTACTGAAATAAATGTTAAACCGAATGTTAATTTGGCATAAATTTCAGTAACTCCCGAAACTAAATGGTAGGAGGCTCTTCGTCTACCTCACTTTTTTCCCCAGCGGAAACCGAGTTTGTTCGTCGTGTACATATGTCAACCACTAATAATATACACAAATTTTAACAAAACCTATTTTTACGGATCTTTGCATTTTTGAACTTCTGTTTAGCATCCTACGGTTGAGGGTATGGCACACAGTTGGGAAATTTATTAGGAGAGACGTCCAACAAGATTATGTAGTCATGGCTACGCAAACGTCCTATTTCGAAAATGTAGACCAAAGATACCTCACTAAAGCTATTATTTTTTAAAACTGTCTGTAATAGAGAACCAGTAGTTTTTTTTGAAAATAGAAATAAACACAATATACACACAGACCATACCCCCCAGTGGGCGTTGACCTAAATACAACCACAGTACAGCCCGTTTTCTTAGATGTATTTTATTTTTTTCAAGGTTACTGGGGTCTGTCTGCCTGTTTTTATTATTTTTCTGGTTATACATATGTACGTCATAACAAAGTAATTAAAAAAGTTCTCGTCAATATCCATGAGGGCGTAACACATCGACAGATTGACCGAAGGCAGTTTCAATGGTATAAATTTATGACCACCTTTTCATAATCCGGAATTTCCGCACTCACTCATAAATCCGGAGTTTCCGCACGAAACCATACATGTTACTCGACTCGCTTTCTCATGTAGAATCAACTAACATATCTCATTTCGAGACCTATCACCTTGCACGGTATGAAAGTATCTACTGTACACTGTACAGACTCCTCTCGATTAACGTCTGGCTTGTTCTACACGATTATTGTACTGGTTATCCCCACCACTGGGGGGGGGGGGGGCCGTGGAACCTGTCAAGCGCATACTGTGTTGCCCCTACGCTTTTGTTTCCGAGGCTGGGGCTTTGGGCAAAAAACAAATTTACAAGGGTCTGAAACATTTCTCCCTATAAGATTATTGTCTCGGCTCGTACCTGAGGTTTTAATCCGTAGTATAAAAGTTATATACATATTGTGTGATCAAAAACGATTCCACTCCTCAAAATTCTTAACCGACCTGGACGAAATGTTTGGACATTTTTTAAGCGAATACTATTTAGTTACACTAGTATCCGCGAGAAAGTAAACAGTTTTGTCCAGATATACACAGCTTCAGAAATATTATAGATGGATAATGGATTTATTTATAAAATAGTAAATACCGCGTCTCGGATGCAGAAATATTTTATACACAGATTCAAATTTTGTATGTGTAGATTGATCATTGTTATTTTTAACATTTTATAGAATGTTACTATAGTAATTGCATTACATACTTACGATTCCACATTACTTTATACTTTATTTCTCTATTTCAAAAAGATAGATCCGTAATTGTAATCCGATACTATTCTCAGCAAAACTAGACGTGGTGTATCACATGCAATGAAGAACTTTTGGGAAAGTACCATATGAATTTTTATGTGTTTCATCGAAATTAACTTATTTTTATGCATACCTATCCCGTATCTACTACATTACCTATCTATAGTAACTCATTACACATGCTGTATACTTGCATGTAAAAGAATTAAGCAATGATATAACTTTAAAGTGTTAAAATTTTATATGAATTAAATTTAATGTTCAAAATCATTTAAAGAAGTCTATTAAGCGTTCACCTTCAAATAACTTTGGAGCTAATGTCAAACTTGAATAGTACAACTTTCCTGTTTGACATTTTCACCCATTTTCAATCCTCACAGAGATATTTAGGTGTTCTTTCTCGTGACTCAGCCTGTATAACTTGAAATAATCCATAATAATATGTAACTAGAAAAAGCTGATCCTATTTGGATTCATTTTTATCAGAAAGGTCTCAGCAGTCCATTAAATTAATTGTTACTAAACCTTTCGTGACTAGATTAAGTCCTTTTTGTAATGGATGTCAAATTGAGATCAATTTTTGTTTTCTCTCAAGGTTTTTTTATTTTGTTCGAAAAATCAGATATGGGACGTATTTGCCTCCGCTGAACCCTGTCCTGTGTGTTATGAATAAGGAAACGGATTTTGAAAGAAACAAAATTTTTGCAGCGGATACTTTTATTAACACTTCTTATAAATTGTTCTGTACAAATATTAAAAATCACTTCGTATGGAATCTTTCGACGCATGGGTGGGACACAGAACAAAACTTTACCTGGTACGGTATTTAGCAATAGACACGGAAAATAACATGAAAATGTCGTTTAAGTAAACAAGAATTAAAACACGTAACCTTTTATCTGGACTACCTCTCACAAAAGGCAGAAATAAATGTAAAAATACACAGTAACAAGACAAAAACATATAGGCACGTAAAGAACTTCACCACTACGGTTTTACGCGGGAAACTGCGATCTGGTATGGCTCACACAGTTTGAGTACACAAATGGGACATACATGTACCTATGTGCCTCACTGGTCACGATAGGCACCACCTGGTATATCATATACAGTTCGTGTAATCAAGTGGGCTATATGCGTCCTGGTCACGAAAAAGTTAACACATTTGCTATACATAAATGTATTTCGCTTATCTTTCGATTTACGTCAGTAGGATTGTGCATTAAACTGCCAGTCATACGTGATTACCAAAGTATAAAAAGGAAACACAGTGTCGGTCATCGTTGACCGTCACAGTGATGAATGTGTTTAAGAAACAATAAATTTAAAAAAATCTTAAGTTTCAGTAATGGATTGACTATTCTTACTTCTCATCCCCCCCCTCTCTCTCTCTCTCGCGGCGGTAGGGCCCAGCCATTGAACTCTATGTATACATATGTATGTACCCCATAGTAGACATATATAGACGGAGCATAAGCTACCACTTTGGCCGAGGGGACCGTAGGATTGGAGGGGAAAAGGCAACGGTCGTTAGAGCTACGTCGGTTAGCTTTGGATGCATTCGGTTCGATTCGGCTCGTTGTTAATGGCTGGTTGGCTGTCTGCCGTACTATTATTTAATGCTTTGTACTATTTATTAATTTTGTTAAATACATATATCTATACTCTATACAAACTACATGATACACGGAATTTTTAACGTATAATAGGTATATTCTTTTCATCTCTCATGGCATACATGTGTGTAACGTGATTGTATACCCGAATAGCACCGAAAAGGAACGAAGTTACCCGATTTACTACTATCCACCCCCTTACCGCGAATCTTACTCCCCCGCACAGTTAATGCTCCGTCTATATATGTCTATGCCTGGAACGATAATAAAGTACAGAAAACTCTAGATGAGCCAGGGCCGAGGGCGATAACTATTTCGAAGGTATTCCCATAGACATATATACATGTAGACAGAGCATTAACTGACGGGGGAAGTAGGGTTCGCGGTAAGGGGGTGGATTCACTACTAGTAAATCGGGTAACTTCGTTCCCTTTCGGTGCTATTCGGGTATACAATCACGTTACATACATGTATGCTATGAGAGATGAAAATAATATACCTATTATACGTTAAAAATTCCGTGTGTCATGTAGTTTGTATAGATATATGTATTTAACAAAATTAATAAATAGTATAAAGCATTAAATAATAGTACGGCACAGCCCACCAGCCATTAACAACGAGCTGAATCGAACCGAATGCATCCGAAGCTAACCGACGTAGCTCTAAGGACCGTTGCCTTTTCCCCTCCAATCCTACGATCCCCTCGCCCAAAATGGTAGCTTATGCTCCGTCTATACATATGCATATGTCTATGGTGCCAGGTATAGAGTTCAATGGGCCCAGCATCTAGGGTTATCGCGTTCCTTATGCCAAAAGAAGAATCGTCCCGAACCAAGACTTTGGTCTCTCGCGAGGATTATTGTATTATTTATTACAATATAGATTTCATAGTACTTATTAATAGGACATTTTTTTGTGCAGAAATCAAAATGCAATCAAAACTACAGCTTCTTCTGTTTACGCTGCTCTTGGTGGGACTCTTGGTGGATGTGTCGGCACAAATGGTAAGATAATTGAAAATTGAATGCATTGTAACATTCTGTCAACCGCTTATTAATGCTTATGTAGACTTAACTCGTACTCGCAAATATTCACTGTCGGCCTGAAAGTCCTCAGACAGCACGTGACGCTCAATGACGCCTTGAAGACGGTTTAAAGACGCCTTAGTCCTAAAATAGCCGTCAAATAGGCGTCTGCAAGGTGTCATGTGCTATCTGGGTCTTAAGTTCACGTAAATCCATGAATTCGAATGCCAGTAACGGAGGGTATTTTTAAAGCAGCCCATAAACTGGTTATAAACGCTTTAAACAGATTTACCAAAAATATTCAGCATGACACTGTATCTTTCACAGATGGGACCGTCTTCAAATGTCAGTTGTAAATTTTAATAAAGCCCTTATGTGCAGCAGGCCTGGATTAAGATTTTTTATGCCCAGGGCTATCAGATTTTCTGAATTTTAAATAAAATTAAATAACATTTTTATCATAACGAAATGGAAGGTTCAGAACGGAGGCCCCCTAGAACGTGGGGCCCGGGGCTACAGCCCCCCTACAGCCCCCATTGATCCAGTGCTGATATGCAGAACGTAATTTGTACAAGAATATTGTACATGTAGTTTTTTCAGCTACAAACATCCGGAGTGCGAACGGTCTTTATAATTGGAGATGATAAATATAATGGAGATGATATATAATAGAATAAATTTCGGTTCTAAAGTTACGTGTTTTTAAACAAAATACTTTACATTTTCGAATAAATTCGTCATAGAAGTTACATAAAATTTTGATTAGTTATAAAATAATTCTTTCACATGATGTTAAGCAATGTCACTTGTTTACGAGGAGTTTTTGTGACACGTAATATTACCGCTAAGTCTAGTGAATATGTTGGATGTATTTATAATGTGGTCGAACTATTTCTCGTAAATGTCTTTTAGAGTTGGTCGCTCACTTCTACGAGAGCTTCTTTCTTCCCTAGAACATTCGTCACTATCAACTGTTCCTGATCTATGTACATCCTTGACCCATAATTACACCCGTAAATCAGTATTGATAAAAGAGATCGAAACCCACCATTTAATATACAAATAGTTAGATATGTAGCTATAAGGCCTAAAACTGGATATAGTCGTTTTTTAGCCAAAATCGAAATCAGTGAGTTCAGGCATTTCTTGTTGTTCTGTGTATTGGTTTTCGAGCATTCTAACAAACCATTTACATATTTCATGTTACATCTTTATGTACAGTTAGTACTAACGATATAATTGTCTCAGTAAGTGGCGGTTATCCCGTTTAAAAATAACGATTTTACCGTCAACTTTCACCTAGTGATGGGCGATATATGTCAATTCTATCGATATTTCGTATCGATACATATCGGTGGTCAAAATATCAAAAGCGAAGTAATGATATCGTCAGTATCGATTATCGATACTTTCAACTCATTATCTGTAATCTGTACTAAGAAAGAGGCTTAAATAAATGGCTATAAAGTGGTGTCGAATGTCGATTGTCGATGGCATCAGTGTGGCGTCATTGTTATTTATCATTATCCCTACCACATGTAGAATTGTCTCAACTTGAGAAAATGTGTTACACTCAAATGGATGAGAACAGTTTTGTACAGTTGTTTCGAAATTTCGACATTTATGGGCCAAGTATCGATACAATGATACATCGTCGAATTAAGAATCGATACAGAATATCGATTTTTAGATTCAAAAGTATCGATATTCCGATATATTGATATTGTATCGTCCATCACTACTTCCGCCCTATGTCATTTACACCAGTCGTCTAAACTGGGTTGAGAAAAATGGTGCTGTAGATTTGCATTTGCTGACTATTTATGGAAGTATGATATCAATGTTTACTTTCTCACACTTTCCACACAGTTTGAGTGTCTTCTACTGGACAATTCGTAAGACTTTGTAAAAGCACTAATTGCTCTTACTGTTATATTACTACGCCCTTTCCTTACAGTGCCATTGTGATTTTTTTAATATTATGCGAACGTGTGCCCATCCGTCCGTCGAAATATTCTACACAGTCCTTCATACTTGGTCAACATTTCGAATTGATCAAAAATTCGAAGTACTAACGTAAAAGTTATTGATCTAATTGTATATTAAACAGGTGTATAAAATCTCAGAATTTATGTTAGTTATACAGCTTCACTGTTAAAGGTTTAGTAAAACGTTTGAACTTGTCAAAACTGTTGGCACAATCAATACTATTAACATCGAAATAGCAGTTTATATAGCAACCTCAATATTTAATTAATGATACTCTTCAATGTTAGTAACAACAGACATTGTAGATATCGTGTTGCGAGCCAACAAACAAAAATTTAACTGAAACGCAGGACAGATGTCGCATCGATACCATAAACTTACGAGCATCGATTTACTCAATAGAGACTAAAATTAGCAAAAAATTAACTGAACAGTATAATCTAAACAGTGTATGTATCTTGTAACAAGCGGAAGGTTTATTATAGTGAATTAAAATATCCGACTAATCTTAAGTTAAATAATTTCGCAATAAAATACAAATTATGTATCTTTATAGAACACTTTAAACGTGACTTTCTTGAAAAAGTGTTTTCCAAATTCGTGGAATGGATATCTGTTCAGTTCTCTGCTGGAAGATAAATCTAGATCTTAATATATCCTACAAATCTAGATAAATACAGATTTATATCTTCTAAAGACTGCCAGATATTAATGTTATTTTTTTCCAATTCAACAATGTAGAAACAGAGCATGGTGAAAATGATCCTCCAAGTCGAGTACACCACCATTTTATAAATTTTCTATTTTTTAAACTAAACACGGGTGTTTTGTACCCAGTAAGTTAAATAACACGTAACAATTATTTTTGCTTCATTTGTTTCTGATTACTACTCGAGTTATAACATGTAGGTACCATAATTTTTTTTCCAATCGAAACGTTAATAAATCCATACTGTTTCTTCGTACGTAAGTCGGCTATGTGTTCTTTCACTTTCTTGTTCGTAGACCGGCACCATACTTAACTGTAGTATGTAACGCTTCTCTGCTTATAAGACATATAAACAGTTTACAAAAAAGAATTATACGATTATTGATTTTTAGCGGCGAAAAAAATATCGGCGCCGTACGACCACGACAACGGAAGCCAGCGTTCAAGATGAGGTCATGAACATGCTCGAAGATGACGAAATAGCCGAGAGGGCAGCGGAGCAGGCTGAGGTCACCGTCGAAGATGGCGGAAACGAGGTTGGATCGAAGCGTCAGAGCTTGCTCCGTATGGACCCGTGCATGGACAAACACTGTGGCGCAGGACGAGTCTGCAAGGTTCGTCCAAGCCGACCAAATGATGTCTTGCTTTAAACATTCTCTCAGACATAAGCGCAGCGATATCGATCGCTAGAAATGGAATTTACAAAAATGTACAAAAACGATTATTCAAACCGATTAAACATTTATCCCCCAGAATCAATTCTTCATAATTAAATTAGAAAAAACGAACACTCTATGAATAATGTCACAGACAAAAATACACATATACAGCCATTTCTTTATGAAAATCGCAGTCTATAAACGCTCGTATTTGTAAACAAATTTGAAGTTACCAAAATAGTTTAAATTCTTAGTCGAATATAATTTCACGGGATCCAGACCGTATTTAATTCCATGAGAATAACAAACATCAGTTTGGTGTGCAATGACCCGTAAGGGTTTCATTCTCACGTTTATTCGATTATGCAGTTATTTGAATGTGGATCTGTTTATTTAGTGTGAAATATTGTTCTATTTTACACTTGGAAATCTTTGCTTATTCAATTATTAATATCGAATAAATCTCTGATCGTTTATTCATTATCTAATGAATTTTACCATTTCTTTGTCACACAAAGGCATTCTGAATTGCAGCGACTGAAATTTTATACAAACTATTCTTATTTTTCAGTATATTCTATCTTTTTTGATCAGGTGTGTAATAAAGTAGTGATATAATAAATTCATTAGAAGACAAAAAATACTACAGTACTATCAACGTTCATTAAATATCAAAATAATAAAAAATGGAGACAATCAAGTTATTTTACATTTGTGATTTGTTTCTGCATGTAAATCTGTGTTGTTTTGTTATACGTACCGCTGATTTTATTGAACACTCTGTATAATTATGTAAGTACAGTAAATCCTCTATGAGTGTTCCAAATATCCACGACACTGAACATTAAATATTTCATAAACTAATGGCCATATGTGGCTGAAACAAATATCATTCGCTTCAGAATTCGAAGCTCTACCCATGTGTTAAAGCTCATTAAAAACGTCAGCGTTACACCTAAGGACCTCTCCTTGTCAGTATCGAGGAGCCTTCGAACACTCATCAAGGATTTACTGTATAATCATGGTACACATACACAGATTTGCAAACATTTTTGCATATATTTCTCCAAATTGCAGCCATTCCACTGTACTTCATTTTTTCAATGTATAATCACAATCGGAATACATATGCAAATATAGACTTTAAATAAATTGTATGCAATAAAAATAACTTCCCGAGGTAATCCACTTGATTCACTTTATATTAGGGAAAATTCAAAATAATTGTTTAAAAAATTGCTTAAACGACATTACCGAAAAAGTACAGACCCACGTATGATAGTGGTGCAAAACTCTTCCTTGTTTGCGTAATTAAAATATTTCAACAATTTTTGTTACGGTGAAAGAAACATTTTCAAACCACCATGTATGTATGTACCTATATGCTATGAAATATCGTAGATGGTCATTAATTTCAAAAACGAATGACTGGATGAATTAATAAAAAAATATGTCTCTTTTCGGCATATTGTGCACTTATACAAACTCACAATACGATACATATTTGAAAAAAAAAAAGGATGACTATCTGTTTTTATCTTTTCCTCGTTACGTAGACTCTTTCAATATCAATATAATACATTTTCTTTGTAACGAATGTTCAAAGACTATAATAAATATTGTTTATAATTTCAGCTAATCGACGAAGATACTGCTGAATGCGTTTGTGTCGATGTATGCGACGAAGAAGTCGACCCAAGACGAAAGGTTTGCACGAATTACAACGAAACCTTCGGCAGTGACTGCCAAGTATACCAAGCACGTTGTTTCTGCGACACCGGTGATACTAGGTGCAAAGGACCTGACTATCAACACGTTCATATTGAGTATTATGGTGAATGCCGACAGATGCCTGTAAGTATTTTATTTACATACCTACTTCCTATCCGTGGCGTGTCTGTTGCCGCCATTTTGTTTTTAACACCGCCCGCAATGGATTACGCAAGATGTCGAATATTTCAATTTGTAATATAAATATTTTTTAATTAGATAATAAAAAGTGTAAGAAATATCTCCATAGATTTTCAAATTGTCATGTAAAGCATTGCTTTCCTGTGTAACAATATAAAGATTTTATTTTGCTATCCTGTGTAACAATATAAGCATTTAATTCTTTTACAGAAAATATAAACTTATAGCACCGTCACATTTATGCATGTGTTGTTACTACACCTATTGAAGGTTTATGTTATTTTCTGCATTTCTTATTTGATTTATAGTAAGATGTATTTATTTTAACATTATACATATGTGGGACACTATTATATTTATATGTTCCATTTTATTTGATCATATTTTATCTTTCTGACAATTTGTCCAGGCCTTTTACATAAAAATTCTTCACCATATTAAGAAACCGGCCGTAAATTGTAATGACATTGTTGAGACGCTTTTCAATTGTCACTGGCAGTGAATAATACCTATAATAAAATAGGATAGTCTGTTCGTATCCAGAATTATATCTTATCAGTTGCACATTACTGTTATACTACACAAATGATCTCGTTATAATCTTATATCATAGCTCAAGTTTGGAATCGCAGCAGTTTCTATTTGTTTATATGCTACTCCGTAGATAGTGTGACAAATCTTCGGTAAAATTTAATAAAGTAGTATTATTATTTAATATACAATATATCTTGCGTTAATATTGGCTTCTTTTATATTACAAAATTGCACCTGTTTTTTGATACCATTACCCCTATACATATTTAGCTATACATACAATATATTTGTGGCATGTTATTCTCTTTATATTTTGTCCTTATCATGTTTTTAGCTAGTCCTTAATAGGCCACTTCTTGCACTTTTGTGATGAGTAGGTACTACTCCTTTCACCTTTGACAGTGAGAAATAGTATTTTGCTCGTGTATTCAACACCAACTGTAGATGTTCTAGAAAATAATGAATCTACAAATAAGCTCACCCATTTCAAAAAAATTAACTCCCTAAATACGCACTCGCAACTATGCATTTTCCTTTTGATCTGTAATTTAATCTATGTAACAATTGTGGGAAAAAATGTCATTAATATATAAATTAACAATACTTGAAATAAACAATAAATAACTTAATCTCTTAATTGAATACATAATTTATTACATTTGTTCAAAAAAAATATTCTGTTACAGTATTTGTCATTATTATATATTATCGTCTTTTAGTTCTTTTCATTACTACTTAATTTATCTAACAAATAGCTGTGTGATAATAATGATGCGAAATATCATGTATACAACTCGATTAAGTTTCCAAAAGAATACCCTATACATATGTATAGTAATGATAGGTATTTAAAAAAAACGAATAATTCTTATGAATTATTTAATTCAACTTTATTTTTAGATTTTTTTATAAGAATTAATCAGTTAAATCAATTTAAAGTGAATGGCAATTCAATCCTGTTGCAGATGTGCAAAGAAGAAGATATGGCGGACTTCCCCAGACGCATGCGTGACTGGCTTTTCAACATTATGAGAGACTTAGCCGATCGTCAAGAATTGCCATCCCATTATTTGAAAATGCAACGCGAAGCAGAAACAAATCACACGTTGCGTTGGACTAACGCTGCCATTTGGAAATGGTGTGATTTAGATGGCCACCCTCATGACAGGGCTGTTTCTAGGCACGAACTTTTCCCCATTCGAGCACCACTGATGGCTTTAGAGCACTGTATCGCACCGTTCCTCGACTCTTGTGACACTAATGACGATCATAAAATTACCCTCGTCGAATGGGGTAAATGTCTACAACTTGAAGAGGTAATCATAAATCAAATACATCCTTCACTTATATTAGAGATGATCAGAACAGAATTTTAATCAATTCTGTAAAAATTCATACAATAGTTATTATTAAAGTTACAATTCTGTTTAATCATATTTCTCTTTCATACCATTTTTACGTTTATTTAACTATTTTTATCTTTTATGTAAATTATTGATTATTGAAAATAATAGAACAAAATACGCAGACAATCACGAAAGTCTACAGACACTCCATAAACCTGATTGGGTTTTAAATGGTAGAAATATGTAGAAAAATGTATAACATAATATTTATTTAAATAATTTATATTAAGAAATTACATAAACGCATAAACAAATTACTTAAAATTTAAAACACTTGTTTTGGTAGTATTATATGTTCAAGAAAAAGATTTCAACTTAGGCGTGGATTTCACTACCGTCAAAAATGAAATATATTGTGTACATATGTATGCAATTTATACAATTAGAGGATAAACTTTCATATTTTTGTCTGGTTCACCGTTCTTTTCTATAAGGAATCGGTTAAAACTTATGACTATAATTACGTTTTATTGCCAGTTTGCATCGTTAGGCCCATATGTTATGCAGGTGAGAGCAATAAGAAACATTCGACCATATCTTTAGTGGAGGCGCCACACACGAGTCGTACAACGTTCGATGATTCATCTGGATAATGAAACAGTATAAAAAGCAAAACATTATCGTCATAAATTTTACAGTAATAATAAGTGTTAAAGAAAAAACCGTAATGTATACTGTTTTACGTTTGTAAAATGTGCACAATCCATTTCCAAGAAACAGCTTTTAATACTTTTCGTAGATTACCCTATATGTACATATTTGTAAAATCGGTGAAGAATTTGTTTGGAGCTCATTTAAATAGTGTGTATATATTTTTACAGTCAATGGATAACAGTTTTATTTGAACATACAAAATATAAAAGTTTAATAAACAGTTTCTAATATTTTAGATGGTTCAACATGTGCATGTAAATATATACATATATATTCGTATCTTCAATTAACTAGAGTTTTTTAACTAAAAAGGCTACAAAATTTTGCTAAAATAATATCTACCATTTTCAGCCCTTAAAACATTCAAAGTCGTTCTGTAGCAGAGTTAAAGTAATATTTTTTTAATAATTGTAGGACGATTTGGAGGATAAATGCGACGCGCTAGTCGACGCAGCGTACGCTGACCAATAACAACTACAACAGATTTCACCGACACACGATGATACTTGCGACTGAGTAAACGAACGGAAGAGGCAAGAGCCCGGTAAATACGAAGCACATACTGTTAACGAAAGGAACGAGAAAAATGGCGGGAAAGTTGCAGTTGCAAGTAAACCACCACAGGCAACGCGCATGCCTTCACACACAAACTCGTCGATACTGGAAGCTATCATGGTGCCAACCGTAGTTTTAGACAGTGACTCTCAATATATGTAGAGATGTGTGCGTTAGGGACTACTTGCAATAATTCCATGGTAATTTTTTAATAACGAGTGAAATTTTGTTTTCCCTTGCTATCGTATAATCTTGATATTATTCACGTAGTAACACGTACGTATTTTTTGCATATATGTATACATACACATAGTTTGTATAAATTTATTATGTGACTGCCTTTTTATCAATAAAGAGTGATACAATTTTTTTTATCTGTGGAAAACGTATATTGTTTGTATTTCAGGAATGATTTTCTCTAACTAGTTATAAATGGAGTATTTTTAGTACGTTAAGTTATACTTTTTACGAGAAATTATAAAAAAATGTATTATTATAGAATGCTTTAAGTAACTTCCCAATCAGCCATACCTGCAAAGCCAAATTTTTGCCGGGACATTGATAGCAACATAGGCAGCAAATTGGCAGTAACATATGCAGTAAATTGGCTTGCGCAAATCTTGTTCCGGTTTTGTCCTCAATTTGACATAGGTCATGTTGCAAGACTTTCTGCCAATTTGCTTTACCATTTTGTCAGCTGGCGTTGCCTGCAAAACCCAAGTCAAATGCGATAATCGATGGCTATGGTTTTTTAGACAACTTTTATCATTTATTTTTAGCAATTTGCTCGAAACATATACATAATTAACTGGCTATCAGGATTAATCATTAAAACATGAATATACATTATATTACGTATTTATTAAAAGCACATTAAAAAACTAAATATGTATTTAATATGTTCAGAAGTTAGTATTAGTTAGTAGTTTAATTTCACAGAAATGTTTTTTTAGTTAATATTTATCATCGCATAAATACGATACTGACAAAAACATAAAAGATTGTAAATGAGATAAATAGTACAAAAAACTGTACTATAATTATTAGCAACTGTTATTGATGCAACATTAAATGTGATAAAAAAAAATAATGGTTAAAAAATAGATCAAAGTAGATGGGTCGTCATTTACAGAACTTCTTATTAATTTTGAAAGTATTACACCACTAATGGAACATATTATTTATAAAACTTTTCATTAATCCTGATAGGATGACCATATAATTAAATTACAGTGTTAAATGACTTTATTAATCATTGGATAACTCGACTGGTGGAAATATTGCCTGTAGCCTACAGGCTGTAGGGTTTTCTTCATATTTAAATAGGAGGAGGTGGTAGATTATGCTGTCTATTGACTTCAATATATTATGATATAGTATTACCCACTTTTCCTTATTCTGAAGTACTATACAAGTATACAAAGAAAACAATCATTAATGAAATAATGATCCAAAAATCTCGAATTTTAAATCCCCCCCACACCTTAGTTTCTACTTGCCGAGCAACTGCGCTCGGCGCCAAACTTTAAAACAATGCTACACAACGTATTCATATGTCAACTTCTAAGGCAACATAGGTACATAATAATTTTCTTATTTTATATTATCGTTTATGCAACGTTTAATAACAGATTAGTAACACTTCTCTAATAAAAATGCGTTCGAGCACAATAATTCGGATAGTTTAATTAACATTGCTTTTGAACTCTTTTTTCAGGTTAATCTCGTCAATCTATAAAAGTTTCATGAAACTAAAACAAGGAGTAAAAAAAATTGTATATCGATTTAGTACCTGACATAGACAAGTTGTTTAGCGTATGAATTTGAATTGTCACTGGTAGGTTGTCTTGTTCACTCATGAGTAGACTGAGGATGTCTGTCCAAATTCGCTGTTTCACGAATCAATACAGGAAAGTGTAATTTAATAACATATATGTTCTTTATTAAGACGTGAATCTTTATTATAATGTTTACACATGCAACTTTTACACGTCTCGATACGCTAAAAATCTACAGTAAGTCGACCAAAAAAAGTCATTACCTGATCAGCAACAGTTCTATAACTTAAAATTTGTTGACTAGCGCAAACCGCATTTTTTAATATTGTCGAAATATGTACATAGTACAATATCTTGAAACTCATCGACAGCAATTTATTAATACTCCACAATGCATTTAAATATATGTACATAATTACAATTGCATATATAATTACAAATACCTACATATATACATATAAGCTTCAGTTACTTCATGAAACAAAATATATTGGATTGTAAGAATATCATTCACTTGAAGTACATACATACATACATATATGCCTTAGTAGCATTGTTATAAAAGTTCTGACGTAATATAATAAACAGAGCATTTACTTCTCTCAAAAATTGAATTATCCTTGTGCTGGCCATAGAAAAACATTTTTGCATTTATAGAAACAACTGGCTAAAACTGAGTTTCTGCATGAAAAAATAAACTGTCACTGTATCTGTCTTCATAGGAAACCTTAAAAATTGATTGATAATTGAAAAATAAATTGTCTAAATGGTAAATGTTAACAATGATACAGTATCCTTTAAGTAGCGTGGAAAATTACCCACAGTATTCTTGTCGTTGCAACCAGTTGCAACCTTCAAGCATTACCAGATAGAATTTACCAAGTTATGGATATTCAATACATTGTTCGGTCAACGATTCGAGCATCCTCTATTGAAATACTTCAGCACTAAATTAGTAAAGGCGGAAAATTCAAAATATAAACTGAAGCCTGATAAACTTAAGCCGCCACCTATGTAGAATACGGTATTTTGAATTTTTACGTATACATTAAAAATAGTCTGCTTTTTCTATAATTTCCGAGGTTTGGAATTTGCAACTGTAACAAAAATATATTATGGCTATACATTTGTTTTATGATTAATGATACTTATTACATAAAATGTCATAGAACATAAGAAGTGTATATATGTACAAAATAATATAATATATATGGGACAATCGAAATAATAACAACTAAGTTAATACAAAATATATTTCTCGCAATTATTTCCCAGTCAGCTAAACCTGCAAAGCCAAAGATTGTCCAATGCCTGTTATAAAGTTATGGCTACAAATTTGATGCAAGATTTCCTATATGCATTTGCACGTATATTGACAGCAAATTGGCAGCAACATATGCAGCAAATAAGCTTGCGGAAACCTCGTTTCAGTTTTGCCCTCAATTTGACATGTAGTAAATGCGTAAACAGATGACTATGGTTTTTAGACAACTTTTGTCATTTATTGTAGGCAATGTGCTCGAAACTTATACACAATTAACTGGTTATCAGGGTTTCTTATTAACTTTGCATATACTCTTAATCGAAACTGTTTGGAGTTATTGAAGTATTTTTTCTGATTATTATTACGTATTGTATAAACGGGAACAACAAATACACAATTATAAAAACTATTAATTTTTTTTAGGGATATAGAGAACTTAGTTTTTTCTGAATATGTACATAAAAACACGGGTTTTAACAATATTTTAGTTTTCCTATATATATAAATTGTGTTGAATTATTTATAACCAAACTGCAGTAACACAATAACATTCTATGAATTGAAAAAAATCATAGATTACTGACAAAATATATATTATTAATTAACATTTTAAAAATCTCTCAAAATTGCAAAATGTATACAATACAATAAAAATCTTTACAATTAATTATGTCAAATGAATTAAAATTGTACAGACTTATTTATAATTATATATAATTTATATTAATATACAATTTTATAAAATCCATGATAATTGCAGATAATAAAATAAAATGGTATCAATTCTTATAATATTGTATAAATTTATTTATACTTTATATAATATCTTGTAAGATCCTTTAAAATCATATAATATTTATAAAACTTGTTTTAATTTCAGTTTTATTTATAATAAAAATCGTCGATTTATTTTTCTAACAAAATTACCGTTTTGATAGGTATATTTTTTGCAGTCTCCCGGCTCAAACTTAAAATACTGCCATCTTATGGTAAGGATGAAATCGAGACCGAACGACAGAAATAGCTCTGGAGTAGCTCCTCTCTTGCTTGCTTATCGCGGTCGGAGGGATGAAAGCGTTGGAGGGCAATGAGGGGAAAGGATACTGCACACATGTAATGCCTGCACTACAGTCGTAGGAGAATCTCCACCCAGCCCCATTAGAAAGAGAAGTAGCTGCTCCTGGTATTGCCCTCTCTCTCTCTTATGTCGACTTCATCCCTACCATAAACGCGCAATTGTATATGTCTATGGCGCTTTCAGTAACAAATATATTTCGTCAGATGGCGATCAGGCCTCTTCCGAGTTCTCTCTTATTGGTGTTTCCGAGTCACGTGATATCACCGCGGGACGCGCCGGCAGCGCCAAGCGTATTTGGCGGGACCGCGCTTAGACGGCGTCGTCTGTGCTCCTCGTAAGTCTGTCGTGTAGTGAAGTGCAAAGGTTCTCGTCGCATAATGGTGAGTATCCGCGAGTTTTCACCTGAACCTTCAGCCATCCATGTCTCATAGTAACATCACCGCGTTCTACGGTCTTCAAACTGTTTACTGGTGGAGTTTCGTGGCTGTGTCTTGCAAATTAACCGTGATTTTTGCTTCTAAACAGGCTGGCGGTAAGGCGGGCAAGGACTCTGGCAAAGCGAAGGCGAAAGCAGTCTCTCGTTCGGCGAGGGCCGGCTTGCAGGTGAGTTATTCATTCTTCGATACACGTACTTGCCAAATACACTTATATTAATATTATTTCTTGTCAACACATACGTTAATGGTTACTTTATGTAATTTTAAAGACAAGCAACTTAAATCGTAATGGTTGGCGCGAAAAACCGGTGCGTTTTAGATAACTAATCAACAGTTTATTTTTGCCAAGATAGAATAATTTTTTACTAAATCATTGTGTGAAATTGATTCATTTTACTTTAGTTTATATATTAAGCGACAAAAATTTCGAGAAGGTTCTGAAGAAATGGATTATTTTTTGAATTAAAGTTACGACTGTTACGTTTAAGTTCCGAAGTTTTCAAACAAGACGGTTGAGTCTGTTGTGCCCCCTCCCCCTCTTGTTTCTTTCAGATGGTTTATTAACATCTTTCATTAAACTATTTTAAATAGTAATGGATGCAAAATGTCGATGAAAAATGATTACGTAAGAAATGCTTATATTTTTATAGAATTAAGGTAATTAATTTGGGTCGATTTAAAATGACAGCAAATGTGACTTGGTCCCTGTAGTATTATTATCGTATTTGGTTACGCTTATCTGTCATCGAAACTTAACCGAAAACAACATAGACTTTATTTAAGTTTACATTGTTTAGCTAGATAATTAACATTGATAATTTAACCAATATTTGCTTCAATATTAAAATGATTTGGTATTTAAAATATTTGAATACAATAGGAAGTTTGAAGTATTAGTGAAGTGTACGAAAAGTCATCATTGGATTTGTCATTTTTTACGATGTCAAAGAACCGATAATAATATTTTAATCGTAAATGAATAAAATACAGGACTTGCACAGTAGAATGACGATACTACTACCAAAGCTGGAAAACTCGGGAAAGTCGAATCATCGTGTATATACCGCTCGATATTCGTTGCGTTAAAAGTGGACCGAGTTACGTATGCCGTTCTATGTGCAAACGTATTTGTTTTTCAGAGATGATCGTATATAGAACAACGTAACAAGGGATCATAGATGCGAAAATGCTGTGAATGTAAAATATTGCGAAAAATAGTGTCATTGCTCCTCGTTCGATATTTCTCGCGTGAAAAGCTGCTGACGCGTGTGAGCTTATGTTATTTGAACAGACATTACATAGGATGCGTTCTAACCTGTAAATATTTACCTTACCACGGGGCCACTATTATCTTCCGATATAGAATCATTTGTGCGTATAGAAAATGTATCATGGCTGTGTTTTACATTTCAGTTTCCTGTGGGTAGGATTCATAGGCATTTGAAAAACAGAACCACAAGTCACGGTCGAGTCGGTGCTACCGCGGCAGTATACAGTGCAGCTATCTTGGAATACCTCACTGCTGAGGTGAGTGAAACATATATATCTAAGATACGATGGTGAAACAATGAGAAGTATGTAGAGACATGCTGTGAGTGAGCGAGTGGGCAAGCAAACGAGTGAATGAGAGAGAAAGAAACTCACGATAGGAAGATGGGCGTTCTAACCAGACTGTAGCGACAAATGGCGTCACTAACACCAAACACAGCCGTTTTCCCGCCTTTTTGTCAACGTGCCTTTATTTTTTTATTTTGTTCATTATTTGTTTATAGTTTTTTTTTTAAAGAGAGAAACTGGATTTCTTTTTTATATGTGCAGAAATCATAATTACATACTACACAAATTTTAATGTAATTTTTTAACCTTTACCTAGCTTGTTTCACTTTGTTCTTCATTGTACAAGCTAAAGCATCCTTTCATCATTGTGTGAAACTGCAGTTTTTCAAAGTTATTTCTTAAGTTTAAATAAAAGTTATTTCTTTACTTCCTTTTTCTTATAAATATTAGTCTACTAAAAAATTTGCCTTTTACTTGTATTATCAAGCCAGTTGTAATTTGATCAGTCTGCCAGAATTTTTTTGTTTATTTGATATTTTTTAATTATAATATTAAACGTGTTACTATAAAATTTATTTTACAAGAAATAAAAGCAACTATAGCAGTAAATGAAGAAATTAATATTCAGTTTAATTTGACTATATGGATATGATACAACTAAAAGTGCATATTAAAAGAAACAAAATAATATGTTTACTATCATATTCTTGAAACTTTTCCACAATTTCTAACTTTTATATATTTGTATAATCACATTTTCATATCCTTTTATATTATATTTTCGTTCTTCTACTTCTATGTTAATCTTCAAAACACTTTTCTATAAAAAAGTAATGGCTTAGACTCAAAAACTAGCTACAAAATTACATTATACAGGGGAGATTCATAAGAAATTGAAAAATGGTTGGATGAAATCATTTTAGTGTTTAGAAGATGCAAAATAGTTTTAAATGTAAAGACGTCATCTTATCAGATGTATTGAATCATGAAAAAAGTCGCTTCTACTGTAATGAACTGGATTAAAATAAATACTACTACCAGTACTCTAATATTAGCTTTAATGTTTTTAATGTCCTTTTTTTTTCAGGTACTAGAATTAGCAGGAAATGCATCAAAAGATCTGAAGGTTAAACGTATCACACCAAGACATCTTCAACTTGCAATTCGTGGTGATGAAGAATTAGATAGTCTCATTAAAGCAACCATTGCGGGAGGAGGTATGTATTGCTATAAACTTTTGAGTATTAAGATTTTAATAACTATTTTTGCATTTAATACATTAAGAATTATACGATTTTCTAGTTATACCAAACCTAATAATAATTTACACAGATTTTATACAGTGTGAAACTGTGCTATACAGAAAAATAGTGAAAAACTACTGGAAATAGATTTGTGACACAAAAGTTAATGGAAATAAACCTATTTGTCCCTGCGATTATCAGAAACAAAATAATTATTAGAATTTGTTAGATTTTATTTAAATTATCAAAATGCTTTTAGAGTGGATTTGTGTTGTACATGTACAATGTTATTCTAGGGCTATTTGTAGCTTTCTATTCAGTGTGATAAATATTTAAATATATTTAACAGTACATAACACTGCACCACAGACTGTAAAAAATAAATATTAATAACTTAACATTTAGAGAAACGCCCAATATGAACAGTTCTTTTAACTTCATAAAATACAAAAAAAAACATGGGACAGAGACTGCATGATTTTGAAACTAGAACCAACAGGAAATAACTTTGTCTTCAAGATCAACAATATTTTTAAAATAGACACAAATTTTAATGTTAATGTATGTACATTAGTTTACTTTGATCGTGAATAAGCATAAAGTTTTCAATGTTTGTTTAAAAATTATTACATACTTAGTAAGTTGATTTGAATTTTATTAATTAAAATTGCATACATTTTTTTTTATTTATGTTCATTCGTTTTTTTTTATTGTACTATATTATTACATTGTCCTTTCGTCATTTATTATTAAATTAAGTTAAATTAATAAATTATATTAAAATGTTTTAATATTTTATATTCTAAGTTTTTTTTTTGTATTTTCATGTATAGACGAATTCATTTACTAAATATTATTTTATTTTTGTTGCAGGTGTTATTCCACATATCCACAAATCGTTGATCGGTAAGAAGGGTTCGCAGAAGCCAGCATAATTTAGTGAATCATTGCGGAACATTTAAAGCTACGTAGGCAAAAAAACGAGAGATGCGAAGCAGCAGAGTGATTGTTGACAAAGTGTACCTATGTTATTAAATTGATGGCGAGACTGGCGTGATATAAATATATATATAGATATATAGTTATATAAATAAAAACAAATATTGATATAATTTAATATAGGTAAATGAGAGTTAAAGAAAAGACAAATTCTCACCAGGTAATTGGCATATTCAAAAAGGGACAACTAATAATAATTATCGGTCTGAAGAAAAAAAAAATTTTAGTGTATGCGCTATACTGCAAATAAGTGACGAGCGATGCGTTGTAGCATGGCTCGTTTAAAGCTGCTAACATTTTTGGTACAGTAAGTGTTCTAAAGGTTGGGGTATTTAAGAACTTGGATGTGTAAGGATCGTTTAGAAGCTTCGCTTTCGTTCCCTTTGTTGGATCAATGGTGGTTTACTTTGTCTCTTTTTTAAATGACCGCGTACAACCAACGCTATTTTCTTAAAATTTGCTATCTAGATATAGCATGACTATTGTTTTTGAAAAGCTGTATGATATGTGCAAGTATTAAGTAGACCAATATTTTCAATATTTAACATTTTAAATTTTTACCTATGTCTAAATGTTTAATACTTCACTTATGTGGACACAAGTGGGAATAAGTAATCATTCTTGTTATTAAATACTCTCAAATATTTTGCAACTGTGAACAGTGTGTATAAATGTTCTATCGTACATTTTTTATTTTGGACAATTATCTAAAAGTTTATTTTGCCAAATGTCCTTAATTCAATTTTTAAAGCTTTCAGTCTTAAACCATTAAATGTGTCTACTGGGATATTTGAAAAACTTGTTTGGATAAAAGAGAAAGAATTTTTAACTAATTTTCTTTAATTTATGAATTACAGTAAAAATCAATCCAATATTTGTTCACCATTAAATATTAAATATCTGAAATTGTGTAGATAAATAACATAGAAGGACATAACTGATTTTATTTTTAATGTAAGTATCAGAAGGTGTAAGAATAGTTACTAATTTTGAAAAACGTCTCAAAAATTCTGATGTAGAGTTTCGTATCATTATACACTGTACAACGTATATTGTAGAAACTAGTTCTTCGACATTATTTCTGCTAACTCAGTGGATTTCAAGTAACTAAACCGATTTGAACTCAAATATCGTACAGTTCATGCCACAATGTATTGATAATTATGAGACTGGAATATTTGAAGCATGGTATAAGCTTTTATATGCATATAAAAATGATAAGAAAAATGTTTCGATCACCAAATTTTGATGTAATATCATAATATCTATTCCATTGGTGTTCAAACAATATAAAAATCATAAGCAAATTTTGATCCAGTCTAAAACATACAATCAGTATGTGTTTATAAGAAAAAAACTAATGTTTGGTTCTTTTGACTTTATGTCGAGTTGTATTCTCAATATTCATGAAATTGTTATTTGCGGCATTTAGTGTAATTTTCACTGTACCTACGGTAACACGCCGTGGATGAAATACACGAGCCATATGTAAAACGTTCATTTTTCATAATAAAGAAAAGTTTTACTATTAAGTATCTACCGATCATTAAAGTTGGAGTTAAAAGAAAGAAGTATACTAATTTGTATTTTGTGCCTTCTTTAAAGATCGTTAAACTAATATCACTTAAAAGGATAATGTGTAGGTGAAAGGCTGTAATACAACGAATAATTTTTGTAAGTCTATCATTGTACATGGATTACGTATTACATGTAAAAGTACGATTTAGAAATATACTTTTTCTGATGGTACAATATGATTGTGTGGTTCAAGATAAAGACTACCTAAAGTTCAAATTCTAAAAAAAATTTAATTTGACCGTCTTTAATTACGTGAACGTTTTTTAAATTAATTCTACAATTTTTAATGTCTAATTTTGAAAAAGAGTAACATTAATTATTTTCGAAACATTCTAATTAATCAAAGTGCAAAGTGTGGAGGCTACTCCCTTTGTTCAATCAAGGCAATTAGTTATCAATAGTTTTTAAATGTAATAATTGTTCAAAAGTTTAGTTTTTACAAAGTAATTGCCAGTATTACAATAAATGCAGTGGATAAGTAGCGTTAATTTACAATGATAGTATAATATTTTATATGAAGTCACAAGCCTAAAGAAGATAAACTTTTTCTATAAAGGAACATTAATATGGTGAACAAATATTTTGATTGTACCTTTTTAATACGACAGAAATGTACATATATTAGTTATCTAAAACTTTTTAAATCATTTGGGATATAATTTTAACATTGATATAAATTACACATTATGTTGACAAATTTTTTATCATAAAGTGTGACTTCAGTGTGAAAAGGAAATAGGTATACATATACCACAAGTATATAATTTAAAAATTACTTGGTATAAAATATGGCTCCATATGTACATTATCAGATTAAAAAGGCAATTACATTTGTTTTATGTTTCTTTAATTATTTTTATATTACTTTTATAAACTCGACCAACACTATTTGTATACTTATCAGCACATTTAAAATAAGTACATTACATAGGAAACAAAAATTAATATGATAACCATATAATATATAATACAATCTTAGAATCTACAATGTCATTTGAGAAATGTAAATGTATTCAAATATTAGGTTTCTGCAAAAATTGCATCTGTTAATTCTTTATTAATTAAGAAAAATGTATTTTATTCTATTCCACAAACTGTTAACAATTGTATCTTACTGTATGTAGACATGTTATTTTAAACACTTATTTAATATTCCTCTTTTTAGTTTGAAAATATTCTAAATTCAGGAAAACATATTTGACTCAAAAAACTAGTTTTACAAATATTGTTTAAAAAGTATTACTACTGAGAGTGTATTGTAACTTCTGCAAGAACTTAATATTTATTACACCTACTGTGTACTGACATAAAATTTTATTATAAAAAATATAGTTGGTCATAAAAGTATCCACTTCACAAAATTTAAAAACTTTGTTGACTGATACATTAAATATTTTATAGTAGTATTTTATAATTCTAGTTTTTGCTTGATGTAGAATTATAAGAAATAAGGTGCTTTACAAAGTCATAATTTCGTACAAAATTTATTCAATACTTAGGATAGATGGGTACTTTTGTAACAAAGTGTACATTGTGAATGCGAAATGTAGTGATTTTACATCATCAAATGCCGTATGAGGTAAACACTATGTAGATCTGTGTTCAGTAACGGAGCGAGGCTGAATCTTTTTGGACCTTATCCCGGCTGTAACATATTGTATTCCGGTACCTAACTGGTCTCCTAACAACCTACAACCCTGTAATGAATAAATCACTTTTCACTATTACACACCATTCAAAGTTATACGTATTTGAAATATTCAATAGGCTTGAGTTTATTAGAAAAAACTTACAATATATCCCCTTTACTCAGAGTCGAAAAATCATTTCGAGTATGATTCCACCTCACGTATCTCTGAAGGTGCACCAGCATGCACCAGGGTGCATCGTGCAGCTTGCAGCATCACAGAATCACGTATCAAAATTCATCGCATAGTGCTGCCACCACAGTGGGAGCGGTCTCCAACCTTTGCTCCCCAACTAGGCAGCCAATCCCGTGGCAGGTTCAAAGCCTTGCGGCTTTTCGTCGGGTCCGTACATAGTGGGGTACGGTGTAGCTCCTTGCGTGTGTGTGTGTGAGCGAGCAGCAGCAAGGAAGAGCTCCCCACTAAGCCGGTCAGAAGCTCAGTCGCCTTTCACGAGTACGGTTGTTTGAGCGATTTGGTGCTGCAGGTATAGTCGTAAACGTGAACCATCGTACTTAAATTCTATTCGTATCAAAGTATTCGTTTATTGACTTGACGCGGGGGACAGGACTCTCATCGGATCGTCCTCCGTCGTCCGGAGATAGTGCTCGCCGGTGAACGCGTGACTGTCAACCAGTGTACCTACCCATACAATTCCATCGTATTGTGAACCTTAGAGTTTCGATTTCTGAGTAACCAGTGTTCGAGGATTCGTTTCCGGTTCTGTCAGCGCTGTTGCCGTATTTCAGCCGAATTTTTGCGCGCGAAGGACGAGAGAATTAAAAAATAAAGTATTCTGTTTCGTGGCGAGGTATGACTTTTTTCTTTGCGTAACTGCACTCAGACTCCTTAAAAATGAGCGGACACAAGGATCGAGCGTCTCTTTGGTAAGTAGTTTCTATTTCTATCGCGTGACAACGCTTTTACTTGATCAAGCCGCTGGCCGAGTTATTCTGCCGGCTCGGTGAAAGGAAAAGACGTTGTTTCACTGGGAATTCTCCAGCGTCACATTCTTAAGAAATATTTGTGGTACGAACGCATTCGTGCAGTTATACTTGCCCTTTTTTATCTTCTACCACTTTGACTTTAACATTGAAAGGAATCGTGCGTGAGGAGCGTGTACGTTTCTGAACACTAGTTGCTTTCACATTCCAAGGTCAATGAACAACGGTATTGACGTTTACCTTTGACACTTTCTGGAACATCGCGAGAAACGATTAAGCGCGATCATTTTTGTGATGTCACAGGACTTGAGATGTTTCGTGGATGCAATTAGAGTTCAAAACATTAAGTAATATTGGAGGTGTAATCCTTAATTTGCGGGACTGTTTGCTTGATTCGGGGAATTTTTAGTTTCAGATTCTGATTCACGATTCGTAACAATTATATCGATAAACAATTTTTGAATACTTAAAATTTTAATGACTTGTCGACATAATATTAAAAATTTGTTAATGGAAGAATTATAGAGGCTTTTTATATGTATAATATAAGGTAGTCTATGGTACTACGTACATATTTGATAAATTTTTAATTTTTCGTACATGGAAGTAGGTACTGATGACGCGATGGTATAATACTAAAGAGTTAGAATTTTAAGAAGTATATTTATAGGTAACTATTGAAAATGTAATGTTATGTCGAAGAGTTTGTTTATGTATCCAGTGGCAGAAAACTTATTCCAAAATCAGGATATGTATTAAAGTTTTTAACTATATATGTAGGTATTTATTGAATTCCTCAGTGTTTACTTGATCGCATTTCCGAGGGATATTAGAGATCACGGAAGCAGAACAATACTGTATATGTATACAATATATTGCAGCAATGTACGTACACATATTGCTGATTTGTTTTCGACATAAATTTCAATCTTATTGGGAATGAAATATGGGTTTCTCTGTATATAGTTGTAGATTTATGTATACGTTGTTGCTACTATTTTTATATGTATTTTGTGAAGTGTTTAACCTATATGAAACCTATTTTATCAATTTCAGTGTTTTCAATAACACAACAGATTTAAAATAACCATATAGACACTTACCTTCTTTTAATGACATATGATAAAGTAACACGACAACCAAGCGATTACTTACGACTGAATGGCATTTTATTTACAAGGCATTTTACTAGTCATACCGGAATTATCGGAGGTTGTTCATGCTGTTTAAAAGGTTGTTCCCTAAATATTACGGGATAAGAGCAATTGGTATCTTCAAAACAAAATTGTAAACATCTCTTCTATCAATGATGATAGGATGATTTCCGGTGGTCGTATCTCCCACATAACATTTTTACTACTT